AGGGGCGTTCACGGGTATGCAGGCCCCTCCCCAGCCTCACCTGGGACCTCTCCCACACCCGCCCATGGGCATGGGGCTCCATTTAAGCTCAGCCCTGGGGCTCAGTCCTAGCCTAAGCTTTATTGTAAGGCACTCTAGCTTGGCCGAATGCCTGTGACTGGCCGTGGACCCAGCCCTCTACCCATGGACTGACTTTCTGGCTTGACCTTGGAGCTGCCTTGTCCCAACGGACCTGCCCAGCAACCCCTGGGCTATGTCTCACCTTGGCCTTTGCCACCAGACCTGATCTTGACCTGCGTGTTGACTTCCTGACTTGAATCTGGACCTACCCCATCATCGCATCTTGACTGGAGATCTGGGCTCGGGGTTGATCCTGGCTGCCATGCCTGGCTCTTGCCCATGGTTGGGGACTGCAGGATGGATGGGCTGGTGAGGACCTTGCTGTGCCTTGGCCCAGTATTGGGGATGACGTCACGGCAGCGGCGGTTACCTCCACCAGTATGACCCACGGGGCACTGGCTAGTTTAGAGGGCTGTGAGCAGGTGGCTCAGTTTTCCTCGTTCTGGATACCCTGAGGTTCATCTTGTCTCCTGTTGGATGTCCCCTACGGTGCAGGTACCTCCATTTAGCCCGTAGCCCTCGGCCCGTTTATGGTCCATGAGGAGGAGGTACCGCTGCGTGGTCGGGGGAGCCCACCCCTCTGTTAGGAGGAGGCAAGGGACCAGGAGATGGAGGGCAGTTTGGTGTCCCCCCCTTGTCTCTCTGCAACCAGATGCAGCCCAGAACTGGCTGTCTGCAGGGAAAGATGTCCCAAGCTGACAGCTTCACTGGGCCGAGGACATGAGTGGGATCACAGCAGGGAGAAATACGGGAGACTTGCGTTTCTCTGTGTCAAATCCTTTGCCACCTTATTTTGCCCAGACAAAGTGGGAACAGCCAGTCTGAGCACCAAGGAGCTTCTGTGCAGCTGGGTATGGAAGAAATCTCATCCCTCCAGGTAACCCTGCTCTTCCCGCTGCCTCTTATCTGTGGGACGAATGGAAGTTGGAGCCGTGGGATGTAGCACGAGTCCCACCACGCACAGCAGCTCCCTGCAACCCTTCCTTCCTTCTCAGCCATGCTCTGAAAATACAGATGGGCCCCAAAAGCACCGAGTTCACGGGTGCCATTGAGGATCCAAGCACAGTGACAAATGTCGAGTCCTTAGTGGTAAGGAAGGATGATGTTGTGGATCAAAGCTTTTTTTTGGGCAAGCTCTTGGACGGGGGCCGAGGTGCTGCCCGTGTTGCTGTTCAGAGTCTCTTTGACCCGGGATGAGGTGACAGCGCTGGCCCAGCTGGTGGCATCCGAGAGCGTCTCAGGGCAGCGTCGCGTGTCGGGGCAAACCAATATCAAGTTTGCCTTGTACCACGAGGAGCAATAGGGAGACAGTAGCCACTTCAGTGAAAGAATGGAAAAAAGAAGTGATCAAAGGAGTGAGATAAAAAATAATGGCAGGGACAGACTTCTGTGTGGGATTATTTAATAATAAGTTAATTAATGCTTTATACCTCACTGACTCCTTTCATGTAAGGATCACAAACTGCTTCACAAACATTAATTAATCTTCCCTAACATCCCTGCAGGGAAGGTCGCTGAGCTACTGAGCGTAAGGGAAATCTTGTCATTGATGAAGGTAGCTGCTCTCTAGGCATGACGGATGCTCGGGTGTGATGGCAGGACGAGGAGAGTTTCTCTTCCTCGCTGATGACTTCAAATGATTTCCCATAACCTCCTCGGAGAGGAAAAATGTCTTTGAGTTGTCATGGGCAGCTGGGACTGGGTGGAGGTGGGTCTGAAAGATGACCCACACCAAAGCTGTTGAGCAGACCTGAGGACACTGAGAAGGCAGGGGTCTATCCAGGCAAGCCCCAGCGCCAACGCCGACGCGAGGTTTGAGTAAGTGTAAGGCACCCGTGAAGGGCAAATCTGTGACTGTTGGGAAAAAATGCCAGGGTGAAGTGGATTTCAATTCAGATCTGAGCTGTGGCTGGTCCTGCAAAAGGCAGGGCAAAGAACATCAGGTGTCAAAGGGAGAAAAGACATTTGCTGACGACAAATATTCAGCCCGATGTCACTGATCTGTGACATTCAGATGGCTACAGAGGACTGCGTGTCTATGTGGGGTTTTACGTCTCCAGGGTAGGAAAAAAGGTCTAAGTTAGTTTGCAGCTCCAGGAAAGACACTCATCCCCAGCTGTGCCCAGAAGAGTGTCCCTTCCGCAGGACATCCTGCCCTGGAGAGGTGGAGGGCCCAGCTTTGGGATGTTGGAGCATCCCGGTGGGATCGCGCTGTCATTGCTCAGCGTTGCAAATATCTTCGGTTGTCCTTGTTCCTAGATCCTGGCAGCGGCGCCAGCATGGCTGCACCAGACCCAGCCTCAGGCTGCCTGCACGGAAAGAAGCGGCTGCCAGGTCAGTGTGCAATGAGTGTATTTTGGGGTTTTTTCCTTTTTTTTTAGACAGTTTATGAAAAAGCTGAATGTGGGACAGGGTTGTGAGATGGGGAAGAAGGAGATTTGGGGTGAAATGGTCTGGAAGGATTGACTGTCAGCTGAGGTGCACGCGTTGGGGAACATGGCTGGGATGTCCCTTGCTTGGTGGTATCTGCACTGGGATAGCAAAAATGAAATTAGGAGAGGAACGACCAGCCTTCAGGATAGCAAAGACTGTGCTTGGAGGAGTCGTCCTTCACCTGGCCTGATCATACTGTTAAACCAAAACCTGAGCCCAAATGATTAGCCTGAGGATCATAGGGGAAGCGTGCGCAGCAGTCCTACATCTCTGGAAGCTTCTGGCCTCCTGTCCCCTCTGTCCACTCTGTGACCCAGCTGACCCCAAAGATCCATCTCTGTCCCAGTTGTACCTCCAGCTGCTCTCAAGGTGTAGGTGCGCTATGGAAAGCCCATCTTGCCAGCAGTGGGTCACCATGAGCCCAGTGGCACCATCACTGGTCCTTCTGTCCTTGGAGGCCACAGGCTGACGGCCAGGGCCTGGCTCTGATAAGAGCTGGTGGACATCCTCTTGCTTTTCCAGCTTTCACCTGGGAGGTGAGGGCCAATGACCGAAACTACCACATGCAGTTCAAGAAGAAATTTGCCTTCTGTCTGACCAAGAAGAAGTATGCGGTGAGTCAGCCTGCACCAGTCCTGGGCCATTTCTTTTCTCAGCCCCTGATTCCTGAGCTGGTGGTGGTTGGGGGTGACAGGACAGAGATGCTGCAGAGTGATCTCCAGTAGGATGGAGAGTCACATACGTTACCCTCAATGAAGAGGAAGGGGCAGCTCCCTGCCTGGTGCCCCAGATGCCCGCTGAAGCTGTCAGACAAGGAGCAGAACTGTATGAAGGATAATTTTTAGACTGATGGTCAAATCAAAAGAAAGATTTTTTTTTTTTTTTTTTTTAAAAAAAGTTTTGACTGAACAAAACCAGGTTTTTTTTCCATCTGAATAACGACCATCTTGTTGCAGGTCAGTTGGGTATGCTGTAGATGATCAGAAGCAAAATATTTTGTTTCAATTTTAAGTCATATGGCCCTTTGCTCTAATAAATCTTCTCTTCCCTTATGGCTTTTGTAAATTTTTAAAGGCATCTCTTATGCCATAAGAAGTTGAGAAGTCCTAAAAATACCAGAATTTTGGCATTTTCAAAACACATCCTTGACTTCATGTGGCTGAACTCCCACTGTGGCTTTGACCTGCCTTTCTTCTGCAGGGCAATGCCATTAAGACAGCCAAGTACAACATCTTTACCTTCCTGCCGCTGAACCTCTACGAGCAGTTCCACCGAATGGCCAACGTCTACTTTGTCTTTGTCATCCTCTTACAGGTGAGATGGACACCAAGGTAAAAGCAAATGTGTGCGAGACTGCCTAGCAAAGGAGGGTTGTCTGGTGTTTAGAGTAGGGGACTCTGGTCTAAAATGGTGTCAAGGATGCTGCTTTTCAGTGGTGTTCATTATCTTCCTGAACTCTGAGGGGTTTTAACCTACGTTAAGTTTCGTTACTTTAAACTGGCTGGATTTGGATGTAAGCTAAGTTCAGGTAGACCACGTCTAAACAGAAATCCTACCCTCCAAATTCAGTGACCCACATGCATTTCATGCATCCAGTTTAAAAAGAGGTGGAAATTCAACAAAGCACTTCCGTGTAGACAGAGATGTTGATTTGATTCATCTTAGACGGGTTCCTGCCATCCTCAGGAGCTGGCTGGGGAGCGGAGCTGGGAGTGAGGGGGAGTCACTCAGTCACCTAAAGTGTCCCATGGTGGGATGAAAGTTGTATCAGTGGTGTAAAATTCTCCCTCTCTAGACCTTCCCTGAGATCTCCACGCTGCCCTGGTACACTCTGCTGTTCCCCCTGAGCTGCCTTCTCACCATCCGGGGTCTACGAGACCTGATCGATGACATTGTAAGTATGGGTTGGAGCGCAAGGCTGGGAGTGTTGGGCGTAGGTCCTGTGGGGGATGGTCAGCAGAAAGGGCGCCTTTGCCGTGGGGTGAACAGAAAAGCTTGGGAGTTGCTGTCATTCATCGTTCCTGAGGTACCATCAACTCTACCATGTCTAAAACGCTTTGTGTTTTCCCTTGGGAAGGATGTGACTGGCCAGTTGTTTTCCTTGGGGTCTAGATCCCCATCTCTGTCATCTTTAGTATCTTAACCAATGGCTATACTCCCAGGTTGGTCCCCAGAAATACCTTGGAGGAATCTTGCCTCTTTATTCATCAGAATACATCTTCTGATGGCTTCAGAAAGCAGATCTTGCCCTGGGGCTCAGCGGGCAGATTGTGGCATTAAAAGGCTTGTTTTCATGGGACAAGGAAGTCTGGCATGGCCCATTCCTTTCTTTTGGCCTCTTTTTTTTCTCTCCTCCGTGCAGGGCCGACATCAAAGTGACAGAAACATCAACAGCAGACCATGTGAAATCCTGTCTGGGAAGAGGTGAGGGGCTTTGGGAAGCTGTACCCATGTTTTCCAGGCCTGTGTGGAATGATGGATCATCTGAAGTGCTGAGCATCCTTGAGCACAGCAGCTGAGAAGGGTTTTGGTGGGAACGTCCCTGAGTCTGCAAACTCCCATCACCTCCCAAAATCTGCTGCAGGTCCAGCTGTTCCCCTGTGGGAACGATCGTATCCCAGTCACAGACAACAGGTCTAAAAAAGCCCTAATCTGCTGTGATGTGCTGGGAGGAGGGTTTCCTGGCCACAGTAGTTCCTCCAAGTCTTCAGATCTAACCCACGGAGTCATACTCCTACCAAACACTGGTCCAGGGAAGGACCAACATTTCCCACCTGCGGCCAGGGGGCTGGAAGTCCCTGCCACCTGTAGGTACGGGTGATATGGATGTGACAAATGGGTCCTGTGCCATCCTCGGTGCTCAGCCGTCCTTCGGTCATGCAGATGGTACCACGGTGGCAGAGGAACCAACAATCTGGAGACCCCATTCATGCAAAGAAGCTGGGACAGACACGGGCTGGTCCAGAGGACAGAAACAGCCGCGGCCCCCATTCCCACTGCTCTGCAAGGATAAAAATTTCCCTCCTAATTCCCCTGCAGCTTCCGCTGGCAGAAATGGCGCGACATCTGCGTTGGGGACATCGTCCGCCTGCGTAAGGAGAGCTTCGTCCCGGTGAGCGGGGTCCCGGAGCTGGCTGCGTGCCAGGGGCAGCAGGGGGGAGTTTTGGGGAGGAGGGGCTCAGCCAGGTGCTCTCCCCCCCTTTTTGCTCTTCAAGGCCGACATGCTTTTGCTGTGCAGCTCGGAGCCCAGCAGCCTGTGCTACGTGGAGACTGCCGACATCGATGGGTGAGGAGAGGGGCAGGGGACCGCTATTGCCATGGGGGGGAGAGGGGTAGAGACATCCCAGCCTTGGGGACCCCCTGGCCTTGGGGGGTCAGGCACGCTGGGAGGGCTGCAAGTCCAGCAGAAACCATGGGATGTGGGGGATCCTCCAAAAGCTAAACCTACAGACACCCCAAAAATGGGATTTCAGCCCCAGATTTTGAAAATGGGAAGCCGAAAACACTTTTGAGGCTTCCACAGAGCAGCTGGTGACCTCGGGCATCTCTCTCCATCTCTCGGCTCCCTCCCAGCCACGGCACCCGCCTGCCCGTCCCTCCCCCCCCCTGCAGGATGATTTAACGGCAGGGTCTCCGGGCCAGAGCTTCCTCCCTGCATGAGTGCTCGATGTCTGGCATGATAGGTCCCTATCTCGCTTTTCATTGCCATCACTCATGTAATCACTGAATAATTAATGTCTGTCTCTGTCCCATGGGTCTGACAGCAGAATTAACAGCTCTGTCACCCACAGGGTTGTTTTATTTTTCCCTCCCTGGCTCTTGTTCGCAGGGAAACGAACCTGAAGTTCAGACAAGCCCTTCTGGTCACCCACCAGGAGCTGGTGAGCGAGGAGAGCATGGCCACCTTTGATGGTGAGTCTCCCGGACGGGCGAGGATGCGGCTGTCCCGCTGGGACGGGATCGGTTCAGCCTCGGGAAGTCTCTGTCCCCTCAGGCACCAAGTGCCATCAGCCTGGCCCAAGGTTGCACTTGCTCCTGCCTGCAAGGTGGCTCATGCCAGAAGACCTTGCGTGGAGGCCCTTCCCCAGCAGAGTGGCTCTGTGATGGGCCCATCGGGATTGTGCACCTTCCCCCTGCCCTGGATCTTGATTTTTCCCACTGGAATCAAGTGCTTGGCTCCCAAACCTGAGCTCAGACCCTGGATTTTTTTCCCCTTCCCATCCTCCATAGGATGCAGACTCCCCTCTCAGAGGCCCTGGGGATGAAGGGGGTTGTGTTTGTATCTTGTCCAGTTTTATAGCCCGGTGCGGTTCCTGGACTGAGCACCCTCCCAGCACTGCAGGGTGGCCCTCCAGCTTAGCCTGACCTTAATTTGAGCCATCCATAACCCAACTGCATCTGGAGATGCCCTGGCAAAACCTAAATCTCCCCTGAGAAGCCCCCAGCACCCCTCTTTGGAGGGGGCAAGCGTGGCGGGGGGGGAGAGGAAGGACCTCTTGTTTCCCCCAAAGCCATTACCTGAATCGTGCCCTCTGCACAAGGGAGAGTGACCTGCGAGGAGCCCAACAGCCGCATGCACAGCTTCACCGGCACGCTGGCGTGGAGGGGCGAGACCTACTCGCTCGACAGCGAAAGGATCTTGCTGCGAGGCTGCAAGCTTCGTAACACCGATGTTTGCTACGGCTTGGTTATCTACGCAGGTGAGCGCCCAGGAAGGGCAGAAAATACTCAGGTCCCCGGGGGTTTTAAGCTGCCCAAGAGTTTCTAGCATCAGCAGGTACAAAGTGAGAAGACCTGCTGCTGTAACCAAGCCCCCAGAAGTTTGTCCCAAGCTTTGCTGGTGTTGGGCTCGCTGGCAGGGAGAGGATGTGGTGGTACCAAACATCTGCTTATCTCAGGTTATCTTTCAGCTGCATCTCGTCCTGGATTCATTTCACTTTGTGGCCTCCTGCACAGATGGCTCAGTGCAGCTGAGAGCTTGGCCATGAGTAGCTGTGGGTAGAGGGGTGGGGTAAGATCTGGTGTAGGCAGCACTTCTCTGAGTGTGCAGCCACGGCTTGATTAACCACTGATCAAGGGATGCGGTCCTCTGAAGTCTTCAGAGGTGGGGAGATGTTGTTATGGAGGAAACCAGCATCATTTAGCTGCAAGTCAACCTTCTGGGGGCTGTGGACTTGCGTTTTTACTTCTAAAACATTTCTTGTCCAGGATTTGATTCCAAAATTATGAGGAACTGTGGAAAGATCAAGCGGAAGAAAACCAAGCTGGACCGCATGATGGACCGGCTGGTGATCATAGTGAGTGTGGTGCAAACACCTCCTGCCCTGGTCCACCGACCTCCTGGGGTTGCTCACAAGTCTTCTCGTGATAGCCTGCTTGCTTGGGTGATGCTGATTTTCTTAAGCTTGCAATATTTGCTCAAAATATCTTGGGTTTAACATGTTATGGGCAAATACCAAGTGATGTTCCCAGGAAGTGGCAGTTGCTGGGTCTGGAGCAGTCTGCGTGGTGGTTGTGTTGCTTAAACCCTGGACCCTGGCAGCTCTGAGTCCTCAGCTGTAGAGTGGCCCCTTGGACCAGAGAGCTGGAATATTCAGGACCTCCAACCCCTCCTGGCCTGCTTTACTCATCCACAACCACGCAGGTCTGAGGAGGCGGTTTGTGCTGAGGAACCTGCAGGCTGTGGCTCAGCACGGAGTAGATGGAGGACGGGGGAAGGAGGAGCCTTTCCTCTGTGGGAAGCAAAGCAGCGTGGTCATACCAATGAACTGGATGGCTTTTATTCCGGTTCCTGGTGGTTGAGTGTCATCACTTCTCAGACTGGCCACTAGCATTCCTCTGTTTGCTGGTAACTTCAGAAAACCCCTTGTCCAGGGAGATGGTGTCTGAGGCAATTAGGAGGGTGAAAAGTTGGGGTTTGCTCTATGTGTGTCGCGGACGTGTCAAGCTGAAATACGTGCTGTGATCCTTCATCTCCGCCCAGGATGAGCTCTGAGAACCTGCTTCAGGCACAAGGACACCTTTCTGCAGGTTTACAGCTAAATGAGACAAACAGTCTGGAAGGGGCAAAGGTTGGTCCTAGAAAAGAGTCTGGTGGGCTCTGTGTGATGGGACATTCTCATCCTGGCTTCCCATCTCAGATCTTCCTGGTGCTGTTGGTCACGTCACTGTGCCTTGCTGTTGCCTCTGGATTCTGGGCCAGGATGTTCCAGGAGAAGCACAGCTACCTCTCTGCTCTCTACAAGCACACGACCCCTGCCCAGCAGGCCTTCTTCAACTTCTGGGGCTTCACGATCCTCCTGAGCATCATCATACCCATGTCCATGTATATAACGTAAGAACAACAGAGCTTGCAAGTGATCAGAGATCAGTGCCCCGCTCCCCACCCTTGGCCATCATCTGGCACCTTGGTTTGCAGCCACAAAATGGGGCTGCACAAAAGATCCGGCTGTGACCCTAAGCAAGTCATTCCCATACGTTCCCTTAGCCGTAAGAGGGTAAGGATGGATGGGGTGTGTATCTTACAAACATTGATGATATGCTTTGAGATTTCAAGAGGAAAGCCAGAACAGAGGTGCAAAGACACGCACTGATGTTGGAAATTGTGGGCAGGCTGAGGATGAGACTGATGAAGGTGGTGTTTCCCCACTGAGCAGCAGCAGGGTGGGGAAGAGAAGGGCAGAGCCGTTGTGAGCAGGCAATAATCACAATTTGTGCCAGAAGAAGCAGTTTCCAAACTTTTCGGCCCTTCACTGAATCTCCAGATCCATGAATTTTGTCATCAAGGGCCAGATTTCCAGAGGGGAGCCCAGTTGCCTGGGACCCAGTGGGCTCTGAGTCCGGTGTGATGAGCCTTCTGGAAACCTGGCCACAATGAAAACCCTCTTGCTTCCCCCAAGCTCAGAGCAATAGGATCCAGGTGGGGAGTTCCACCTGCCCTTTCTTCCTGTGCCAGATCCCCAGGTGCCCCTGGGATGCGAGTAATGCCATCCCCTTCCCCACTGTAAGTCGTCTTCTACCTGACTCCCTAGGTTTGAATTCATCTATCTGGTAAACAGCTTTTTTATCAACTGGGATCTGGAAATGTATTATGCTGTCAAGGACATTCCAGCAAAAGCCAGAAGCACCAGCCTCAATGATCAGCTTGGCCAGATTGAATATATCTTCTCGGACAAGACTGGCACCTTGACACAAAACGTTATGACCTTCAAGAAATGCTGTATCAATGGGACCATCTACGGTAACTTTTGGTGGAAGCAAGTTTGTAGGGACTCATGAGTTAGATAAACCTTGAATTGGTTCTTTCCACTCCTCCTGTCTTGCTAGGAAGCTTGGGGCATGTGGATTGATCTTGGTGGTCCAGCGTGTAGACAGAAGATGCTGTAGGAATTCAGCTTGTTCTCACCTCCCATGTTATCAGTGCTCTGCGGGGGCCACCACGCCTGCGGTCACACTTGTCTCGTGTTCCCAGTGTATGGAGTCAGGGCACAATTCTGCCCTGCTACAATGGGTGCCTACCTTTCAGGAGATGTATCATGCCCCAAACTCGGCTGAGATCAGCTAGGTTTTCCCAGCTACATCCCACCTGGAATAATGAGCTGTTGCTGGCCCAGGTGGCCAGGACAGGGCAAGCAGAGGAGCCACAGGGTGATGGGCCAGTGAAGCCCATGGGTTTTTATTTTCTATGAAGGTCTTGGAGAGAAAAAGGAGGTTTTGCTTTTCTTCTTTGCATCGTTTTCTGGTGAATCTCCAGCTTGGTTTCCAAATCTGGGCACTTTGAGGCTTTCAGTGACCTATGGAGGAGGCAAAGAAATTATCATTCCCCTTATGTTGTTTCTTTACAGTGAATGCATGTAATTGCTCTTTGCTTTTTTTTTATGATTCTGCTTGTTTTTCCCCTTAGAAACCTGAGAATTGCCAAGTCCTTCCTCCTCTTATTGCTGTACTTACTCTCGGCTGGCTTGTGGGAGCTGTCTCAGTGCTTAATTAGCGAAATTTAGCAAGCGGGGCAGGCCAGAGCTTTAGCATGGAGCTCCTTTTTCCTGAGATAAGCATCAGGCTCTTGAGACAAATGGGCAGGGATAAAAGCAAAGAGGAGGGGAAAAAAAAATCTAGCAAAGTTTTTAAGCAGGAATAAAACCAGTTTTCCCTGCCTGATGTATCATGTGCACCTCTGTGATAGCAGCATCGCCGCCATCCCGCCAGTCTCTGGCCAACTCCAGTCTCCCAGGAAACATGGGTGAAACCTAGACCCGAACTTTTAACACCAAAAACGTGTCGAAAGTCTGAACAGTCCAAGAGCCAAATAAGTCAAACCTGGGTATCCTAACGGAGCCTGGCTCATGACCGACACAGAGCAGATGCTGAAAACCTGTCCCTTTTTGCCAGTCTTTTGGCCAGCAAAAGCAGCAAACCCTTCTAGAGAAACTGCTCAAAGCCCCCACTAGCGATGCTCCCTGCCAGCTCTCCGTTAACGGAATTATTTTTATTTTGACAGGTACAGGCACAGGCCATGAGAACAAACAGCCATCGGTGCGTAACTCCCCTCTCCCATGTAACGTGGGGCCAGGCGCTGCTCCTCATCGGGGCCAAAGCCGTAGCAGTTACTGGTTACACCGGCAGCAGGCGCAGCCTTTTGTTTTGGAGCACAGCTCGCTCACAACGGGGTCCCGTGCTGTAAGAGCGTGGCATGTGTTTCCTTGGGCTGGCGAGTTCGCCGGTCCTCAGCTGCCAGTTAAGGACAGCGGAACCGGTTTTATAAAATAATGCAGTTCCAGTTCTGATCTTTTTATTTATTTATTTATTTTTACTCCCAACCTTTTTATATTCACCCCCTTGGTGCAGGCAATGCAGAGCTCGGCTTATGGACTCCGATCTGGATCGGACCGTGCCAGCGCAGGGTTGCTGTATTGCAACCCAGCAGCATCCCAGTGCAGAGCCCCGTGCTCGGTCTCTCTCTCGGGCGCCTGCAGCCTGCCTGTGCCTCTTGCAGGGGTCGGGGTTGACCTGGAGCCACCACGGGGAGAAGAAGGTGGACTTTTGCGACACG